AACAAAAACGTGGTACGCAAACTATACACAAAACTTAAAGATAAAGAGGACAAAATGACACAATCACACTTAATATATAAAATAAATTGCCAAGAGTGTGAAGCGTGCTATGTAGGACAAACAAAACAATATCTTAAAAACAGACTAAATCAACATAAATATGATTGTAAAATACAAAACATAATAAAACAGATAAAACAGCATTAGCGCAACATCATTTTAACCATGATCACACTTTTGATTTCAATGAAACACAAATAGTAGACAGGGAGAAAAATTGGTTTAAGAGGAATATAAGTGAAATGATACACACAGAATTAAACAAAAATAACATAAATTACAAAACAGATACAAATAATTTAAATTCATTTTACAAATCTGTTATTATGAAATTTCAAAAAATTAAAACAAGCGGTAACCCCAATAGAGCAAACAATAGATGAAAACAATAAACAGCTGATTTGTGATATTTTTTTATTATAGTTTAAGTTTTTGTAAGAGTCTAGTTTTTTGTCCCATTTACAATTTTGTGTTAATTTATTTTATTTATTTATTTATATATATGTTATTTATTAAAAATATTAATTGACGATTTTTAAAACAATTTTATTAAATTAGTTTATGGAAGCTATTGAGTTAATTAATTATGTTAAAATCAAATTAAAATTTGTTCAATAACTTAATGTAAGTATACATATAAGAAATGTATGACATATTGTAAAAGCATTATTATCATATAAATATTATTTTTAGCCCTGATGAAGATTTAAAATTAAATCGAAACGTTGGTGAAAAGTTAAAAGAACATTGTTTTATTTGTCCTACATCAGACTACACAAAAAAAATTTTAGTTAATAATTAATTGGCCATCACATTGAAATCCGTTTTAAATTTTAATTTAGAACTAAAAAGATTTTTTATTTAAAATTTTGATGTACATATTTCCGAAATATAAATTTTTCTTTTTTCATAATAAATTTATGAAAAGAAAAGTTCTTTTCTTCTTGAAAGAATAAAATCAACTTTTGTTAAGTATGTATGTGGCGCACGAAAGATATTAGCAAAAATAAAAGAATTTTAGTTTAAAGAAAAGAGTTTCCTTTTTATACATTAAAAAAAAATTAATTTAAGAATTTCCTGAGAATTATTCTTTGGCAGTAATTTCACTGTAATTTACATATAGCAATGCGAGTTCATATATATGGTAAAATGGTATGCATTTCTTCAGTTTTAACATACGCATATTTAGCAAGAAAATTTTGAATTAAAATCAAATATATAATTAGCTGTAGTACAAAACAGATATTTAAATACTATCAGATAACAGAATATCAAATAATAGTTTCTATATAGCAATAAAGGAAATTATAACTGGTAATGTTGGTTATCAGGAAGAACAGGGCTTCTAGAATAATAACTTATAATTTATCCTTTTTGACTGTTATTTATATATCGCAGTGACTTTTCAATATTTATGAATATATTCATAGTTATGAATAAAATACTTCTGATAATTACGGTTTCAGGATGTTTTTAATATGTTGAATTCTACTCCTTATGGTAATATAACGCTTTCCGGAAAATTATCGCAATTTAGTTATCGAAATATCACGTAAAATAACTTACAAATTTTGTTTATTCATAACTTTTAGTCTTCATTTGATTTTGTTTTTTTTTGATTTGATTTGAAAATTCCTTTCTTTTTTTGTTTTATTTATTCGCCAAAAATAATAGCTCTACAATTTTAAATAAAACCAGAGAATTATTAATTCATTATAACTTTTGCAGAAAATAACAATACTATATAAATAGGACTTCCATTGAAATTGGAGGTTTGAAATTTTACTACAGCTGAGTAAAATTAAATATATGTTAAATACCCAAATTAAGAATATTGAATTGAAAAATATTATAATAATATTTTTCAATCCAATATTCCCTTGCAAACCCATGCAAATTATAAAAATTTGAATTTCCTAACAAAATGTGTTTTGTTTAATAATACAATTAGACCAGATTAGAGAAGGCAAAACAATCATTAATCAGGTAGCCAATAATGTGTCATTTTTACATGGAAACTCCGTTGGTTGAAAAAAAAAAACCATTTTTGTAGCAGGTAAATCACGAAATGACGTACAAGGTTATCTGTTAAATAAAAAAATTCAAAACTTACACGCGGGACATTTGGGTAATTAGAGCATTAATAATACAGATAACTTGTGCAGATGTTTTATATTTTGGGTTAAAAAATAAAACTATTTTACTTATCGCTGAATGTAAGATTTAATTTTAACTATAATGAACAAGTACCTACACTATACGTCAAATAAAATAATATGTTAAGCGTTATAAAATATTTTTTATTATAAAAAACTAAAAAATATTTTATACTGATCATGTATTATTTCGAACACTAAACGCTTAATTTTGATTTTTTGTTCTTAATTCTGTTGTTTTTTGGGCGCGTTATAAAAAGCTAACTTAACGTAAGAAGCCTTTTGGAATATAATTTTATTTGCAATAATCGCCTAGCTCGAGGTGAGTTTAAACAATCAACAATTATTATTTTACACAAATCGCTGATCTCGAGTTAGTATTTGAATAAACTCAAAATTAATTTTGCAACAAAAGCTTAACTTGACATAAGCGGTTATGAAAAATTCATACATATAAAAAATATGTCACTAATTTTGATTTGCAACAATAGCCTATCTCGAAATAAGTGGTTTGTCAAAAACATAAAAAAGATGTTTTCTGCTCTTAACTCGATTTAGGCGATTGGTGCAAGTGCACATAGTTACGACAAGTGCGACAATAACTCCGGCTACAACAGTCGTAGAACCACCAAATTTTGTGAGCATATGAAACTCAAAACGGAGAATTCGCTGGTAAACATACATATTCCATTTTTGTCTTAACTCGAGTTAGGTGGTTTGTGTTTGAGGCCACTGATATAATATAAAAACTTTATTATTATTGATTTCATTTAGATTTAATAAAATCCTTTTTTGCCACGAATTTCTTTCTCAAGTGGCAAGTTTTCACATAGAATTTAAAAAATTTTCAATAAAATTGTCATAATATGAAGTTGTCATTTTAATGTATCCTTTATATTTGTGCCAAACATTACAAATCAAAGAATTTTCAGAAACCTCTCTAATGGGTTGAATGTGGTTGTATTGTTCAAGTAAGCATTGTTTTATATTTTGGGTTAAAAAATACAACTATATAAATTTATCAATTCGAATTAGATTTTACAAATTCATAAATAACTTTGTTAAAATAGTAATGTCGGAAATTGTAGGTAGAGGAATTTGTGTATTAGACGAAAATGATATACTGTCAAGTTGGTTAGAATATTTTAAAGAGGTATTAAACGTGCAATAATATGACGAAGGAGAGATAATGATGGAGGAGCTCCTGGATGTCTTACCAGCACTTGATGAAATTAAAACTGCAATTTTAAATTTAAAAAAATAATAAAACTGCAGGTGAAGATAACATAACAGCATTTAACAGAGATGTTAAAAATAGATGGCGAAGAGCTGCAAAAAGCATACATAGCTGAATATGCGAAATTTGTCAGCAAAAAGCTGTTTTTGCAAAGTAGAATATGGGTTTAATTTGCGTAATACCCAAAAAGGTGACAAAATGGATTGTAATAGTTATCGAGGAACCACGATATTAAACTGTATGTATAATGTCCTGTCTAATGTAATATATGAACGCATCAAACTAATGATAATTGATAAATAGTAATGTAGATGCAGAAACAATAGGTCGACGGTAGATCAAATATTTTTTCCTGAGACAAGTATTGCTCCTTATTTACTACAACTAACTTTTAATGGTGAAGATAGAAATAAGTTAGAAATTGTGCTGACAAGACAAGGAATACCTCAAAAATTAAAAACCTTAATGATTATGGCAAAAAAAAATCAAAAACCAAAATGGTATTACAAAGACAAACCTCAGATACATTTGAAATTAAAACTGAAGATTAGTTCTTATAATTGGGAAAAATTTTAGGGCCATGTTTGCCTTCATAAAAATTGAAAACCAAATATCTAAAATTGTTTTGAAAATTAATGGAATACGGAGAAGACGACAGATACAAAATATGATATGGTGTGCACTTTACGATAAACGATAGAATTCACACAGGTAACTAACAAAAAACTTATACAATCGAATCTGCTGTCAAGGCGAAATAAACTGATTATATATAAAACAATTATACGTCCAGTTTTGATGTTTGACATGGACAATGACAAATACCGATATGCTAGATCAGCGAGTATTTTAAAAAAAGAAATTATTGGAGAAGTTATTGTTAGGTTTGTAAAATCACAGAGATTAAAATGGGCAGCACATGTGACCTAAATAGACGATAAAAGAACACAATTTTTAATAGTCGCCTTTATCTCAAACGTCCGAAAGGTAGAACAAGAATAATTTAGTTCGACAATGTAGAAAATTATGTCAGAAAACTGTTAGTTCAAAGTTGTAAAATATTGACGATAGAAAGGACGACTTGGAGGCCAATTGTACAGAAGGCTATCTTGTCCTGTAATGTTGATGATGAGGTGAATGTATATATTATTCAGTCCCAACCTCTATACATTTACTTTCGAATTAGTTAACTCTTTTCATGTCAGAAGTACTAATGTTGAATCGAGTAGGACAACAGTACGCTTAAATTGTTTTAATAAGAGACATTTACCATAATATTTTATCATTATTATATTATAAAAATTTCGAATAAAATAATTTTGATAGAGACAAAAACGCGTTTTTAGCATTTTTCAGGTGAATTTTTGTATTGCAACAAAATTAAATAGCGTAAAAACTAAATAGTGCAAATTTATTCTTAGATGTTTCACGATACAAATGTTTTGATTTTTGTAAAATTTCCTCCTCTTTGATACGAAACTATTGCACAATTATTTAGTTTATATTATTTTACGGCCAAAAAATATTTAAGATTATTTTTTTTATAGGTTTCACGACGAAGAACACGCAAATCTATTAAATGCTATGTGGTTGATTGCGATAACCTTTTTGAGTGTTGGTTTCGGCGATATAGTCCCAAATACATATTGCGGAAGAGGAATTGCAGTTAGTACTGGAATTATGGTAACTAAAACTCACAAGCTCTCATATCGTAATAATATTACAATTAAAAAACCAAAATTGGAAAAGCGAGAATATTTAATATCATGCCTAATGCTAGCAAGATTGCCTTCTACCTCAACTGTTTTTCCTTTAACTCAATTCTTTTTTCTTCATTTCAATTTTCTGTTAAAATATAATTTTGTAGATCTGAAATATAATACAAGTAACAGCAACAATAATCCTTAATTTTAAGTAGATTTGAAAGTACTCCTTAACGAAATTCTGAACGAAACTCTTAAGGAAATTCGAGACTTGTTTTTCGATTATAAAATTAAAGCGCAATTTAAACAGTAAACTCAAATTTAATTTGTCGTTTACAAGTCGTTTATATTCTGTCTAATAAGTCTGCGAAAGTATAATAACAAATTGTTTTTTAAATATTTCAAAATAAAATTCTTTCTGAAATTTTACTGCTTCTTGAATTTTTAATAGAAAATATATTGCTTCTTGAATTTTTAAAGTTTAATGAATAAAGACCAATAATTATAATAATAAGATTAACATAGTGTATAAAAATTGCTTATTTGCAAATAAATCAAAATGAATGACCTCTTTAAGAGAAGCTAACTAGCGCTACGAACAAATAAATAGTAAAGGAATAGATTTTACCCATGATAATTCATAATGATTTAATACACATTGAGATCAGACCAAACACTCGGAACAGAAAATTCAGACAAAGAAATAGATGACGTACACTAACAGTTCATTATGCACTACCGTAAAAAAGTATTTACGGTTGCTGCCCCTGATCGGTATTATACCTCAGGAAGTGGTTTTCAAGGATTAACACTAGCGACTAAACAGAAAATACACTATCCATCATAAAACTGAAAGTGTAGTAGCAATAAAAATTCTCATGTCACTGTAAGTACAAAAAATTAAATAAATATTAAAACATAATTGCAAAATTTAAACAATTCCTTTTTGACAAATTTTGATAATGAAATATTTAAAAATAAAAACAATGAAAATCAAAAAATACTATAATAACAACAATAACGACAATAATAATAATAATAATAATAATAATAATAATAATAATAATAATAATAATAATAATATTAATAATAATAATAATAACGAGAAAGAAAATAGAGTTGACCTTGTCAATACCCGTACGAATTTGTTATCCTATGTGCGAATAACTAATGTGCCATAACCAACTATGGGGCACACTATGACTTTAAGTTACCGTATTACCATATTAACTTATGTAAAATTTCAGTACTGTGTTTTTCAAAATACTGGTTCTGCCAAACTACTATTGAAGTTGTATGACAGCTACCAGAAAGAGCCAAGAAACTTTAGCGAATTTTATCAAGCACATCGGCCCTACTAATATATTCACTTGTTTGAAATCTCAATATCACAGCTTTTATAGTTTCTGAGATATAGCCACATAACTTTTGAAATTGAATAGCAGGTACCAGAAGGAGCCAAGTAATTTCAACAATTTTTACGAGACACATTGGCCTTAGTAATATTCGTATGTGTGAAATTTCAATACCATAGCTTTAATAGTTTCTGAAATATATTCAAATAACTTTTGAAGTTGTATGGCAGGTACCAGAAGAAGCCAAGTAATTTCAACGAATTTTATGAGACACATTTGCCCTACTAATATATTCGTTTGTTTGAAATTTCAATACCACAACTTTTATAGTTTCTGAGATATAGCCAAATAAATTTTGAAGTTGTATGGCATCTACCCGAACCGCTACCCCCATCATGTCCAATTTAAATAGGGTTCTGGCGCTTACTACAATAAATCATTCGTGAAAATTTGGTGAACTTAGCTCAATTAGTTTTTGAGTTATCGTTGGGACGGACGGACGGACGGACGGACAGACAAAGCTAAATCAACTCAGAATTTGACGCTGATCAAAAACATACACTTGAGTCTATATCTTACGCCGTTATTTGTTAACGTTACAAAC